GCATTCGTCATATAATACATTATAAAAATATTAAGCTCGTTATAGGTCTAATTTTGGTCATTTATAAATTGAAATAACGAATTTACAAAGATATTACATGATCTTTCCATTTTTTCAAAAACAAAAAACAAAACCAAGTATTGTTATTTCAAAAAAAGAGTTTCTTTATGAGTGTTTCGACGCTCTTACACCTTCAAACTATCGTTCCGATGACATGTAACATTAATATACGATCGTTATCAAGTAATTCGATCAAAAATACCATAACGAAAGCGTGTTTGTGTCGAAAAACAACAATAACGAATGTACATTCGTTATGGTTGTTTTTTCGAAAATCCCCCTTAAACGACTGTGCATTTGTCATATAATTCATTAAAAAAATATTAAACTCGTTATAGGTCTAATTTTGGTCATTTATAAATTGAAATAACAAATTTACAAAGATATTACATGATCTTTCCGTTTTTTCAAAAACAAAAAACAAAACCAAGTATTGTTATTTCAAAAAAAGAGTTTCTTTATGAGTGTTTCGACGCTCTTACACCTTCAAACTATCATTCCGATGACATGTAACATTAATATACGATCGTTATCAAGTAATTCGATCAAAAATACCATAACGAAAGTGCGTTTGTGTCGAAAAACAACAATAACGAATGTACATTATTTATGGTTGTTTTTTCGACCAAATCCACCTTAAACGATCGTGCATTCGTCATATAATACATTATAAAAATATTAAACTCGTGATAGGTCTAATTTTTTGGTCATTTTTAAGTTAAAATGACGAATTTACAAAGATATTACATGATCTTTCCATTTTTCAAAAAAAAAAAAATACCAAGTATTGTTGTTTCAAAAAATGAGTTTCTTTATGAGTGTTTCGATGCTCTAACACCTTCAAACTATCGTTCTGATGACATGTAAAATTAATATACGATCGTTATCAAGTAATTCGATCGAAAAAACCATAACGAAAGCGCGTTTGAGTCGAAAAACAACAATAATGAATGTGCATTCGTTATAATTCGATGTAACGAATGCACATTCGTTATGGTTGTTTTTTTTTTATCAAATCCACCTTAAACGACCGTGCATTCGTCATATAATACATTATAAAGATATTAAACTCGTGATAGGTCTAATTTTGGTCATTATTAAGTTAAAATAACGAATTTACAAAGATATTACATGATCTTTCTATTTTTCAAAAACAAAAAAAAAAAAACCAAGTAATCAATATTTCAAAAAAAGAGTTTCTTTATGAGTGTTTCGACGCTCTAACACCTTTAAACTATCGTTCCGATGAATGTACATTCGTTACGATTTTCACCATAACGTCATTCCATGAAAAAAACCAAAATGGGAGCACTTTCGTTATGATTTTCACCATAACGAATGTACATATGTTAATGAATTTACATTCGTTATATTTCTTTTTCGATCAAAAACATCGATTCTTCATGATCTTTCCATTTCTAAAAGAAAACAAGTATCGTTATTTCTCAAAATGAGTTTCGGCGCGACCTAAAATAAAAAAAAAAAAGAAACAATAAAATAACTAAAAACACCCGCGACAGACTGCCTGTCACGCCCGGGACAGGCCGCCGCGAGCTTCTGCAGCTCCATATTTTGTGTCGCGCCCGCGACAATCACATTGGTTGCGGTTGCGGGACTTGTTGCGCCCGTGACATCTTGGATAGCTTTCTGTTAAAAAAAAAAAGAGTAGAGAGTCGCGCCCGCGATCCTGAAATCAACATGTTTATCAATCATAAAATATGAACAAAAATGCTTTATTTCTAAAATAAGAACAAACCCTAACATGGTTTAATTGTTGATCTTCCACCATCACCACATTTCTTTTGCAATATGTAATCCAAAGTTTATGTATAATCATCATATTTTGTTCTCACCTTTTCAAGAGAAGGGAGGATGGAGCGAGAGAGAGGAGCAGAGCGAGAGAGATGAGACGAGAGAGACGAGCAGAGTTCTAAAATGCCGCGATCAAATTTTTTCTTTTTCTTTTTCTTTTTCTTTTTCTTTTTCTTTTTTTTATTATTACGTGTCATTGGTGAACGATAGTTTGAAGTTGTTAGAGCGCCGAAACACTCACAACGAGTCTCTTTTTTTTTGAAATAACAACACTTGTTATTTGCTTTTGTTTTTGAAAAATGAATAATGATGTGGAATATTTGTAAATTTCTTATTTTACATGAAAAAATGATCAAAATGAGACCCATAACGATCTTAACATCTTTATAACGTGTTATATGACGGACGCACGGTCGTGTAAGGCGTATTTGTTACAAAAAACAACTATAACTAATGTACATTAGTTATAACTAATGAACATTCGTTATAGTGGTTTTTCGACCAAACCGCGCTTTCTTTACGGTTTTGTTTTTCGTGTTACTTGATAACGCTTGTATGTTGATGTTACGTGTCACTGGAACGATAGTTTGAAGTTGTTAGAGCGCCGAAACACTCACAACGAATCTTTTTTTTTGAAATAACAACACTTGTTATTTGCTTTTGTTTTTGAAAAATGAAAGATGATGTGGAATATTTGTAAATTCTTTATTTTACATGAAAGAATGAATAAAATGAGATCCATAACGATCTTAACATCTTTATAACGTGTTATATGACGGACGCACGGTCGTGTAAGGAGCATTTGTTACGAAAAACAACTATAACTAATGTACATTAGTTATAACTAATGAACATTCGTTATAGTGGTTTTTCGACCAAACCACGCTTTCTTTATGGTTTTTTTTTTTGAGACACAACTATAACATTTTTGTTGGTCATATATCACCATTTAACGTTAGTTTGGACCCGTTAGAGCGCCGAAATAATCATAAGAAACTCTTTTTGAAATAAAGTTTTCTTTTTTTTTTGTCTGTCGCGACCGCGATGGCCGAGTCAAAACACTATACAAACAGATTAAAACCCTATAAGTCAAAAGCAATACACTAATCAAAATATAACTTCAAGTTGCTTCATTGATGTTAATCTCTAGACACCTTCCACGATTATGGCCGACTTTGGAACGCTTGCTACATTTACGAATTTGGCGAAGTTTAGTAGTTGATTTTCTTCAAGCCTCACCACATTTCTACATTCGTTAAAACAATGGGATATGTCATAACGAAATTACATTCCTTATGAAATAAACATCAAATAACGGATCTACATTCGCTATGAAATAATTCGATAATAAATCTACATTCGTTATGACTTTTTCTTCAGATAACGAATGTACATTCGGTATGAAACTACATAACGACTGTAAATTCGTTATGTACAAAAAATTAGAAAAAAAACCTCAATGCCACAAAACGATGATGAATATGAAATCAACATGTTTTATCAATCATAAAATATGAACAAAAATGCTTTATTTCTAAAATAAGAACAAACCCTAACATGGTTTAATTGTTGATCTTCCACCATCACCACATTTCTTTTGCAATATGTAATCCAAAGTTTATGTATAATCATCATATTTTGTTCTCACCTTTTCAAGAGAAGGGAGGATGGGTGAGAGAGAGGAGCAGAGCGAGAGAGATGAGACGAGAGAGACGAGCAGAGTTCTAAAATGCCGCGATCAGATTTTTTCTTTTTCTTTTTCTTTTTTTATTATTACAAAATTGGTAACAAAATAGAAGAAGGGTTAATATAGTCAATAAACATTTAAGGCTATTTTAGAAATTTCATTTATTTATTTACCTTTTATTTAATTGAGGGTCATTTGCACAAAAAACTTGTTGATAGGGTCATTTAAATAAAATATCCTTTTGACCATCCCTTTTAAACAAACCACCCCCAGGTAAACACCTTTCCTTTTCACAAACTCTCTTTCCAATTTTCAAAATGGNTTTTTTTTTTCCCGAAACGATAGAAGTACTATATTAATAAAACCGCACAAAGTGCGAAGAGAAAGCAGCCAAATGCTGAATAGTACAACCAAAGACTAAAAACTGGGAGGCAGATCCAGAGATCGCCTACCCCAACAGGGTAAAACTCGGGGAACACACAAAGGACAACAGAATAACACAACCACACAAAACTAACTACACGAACAAAACTAAACAAGACCCCAACAGAGTAATACCCGAGTGTCGGACCCCCACGGAGTAATAAATTTGACACCCGGGCGCACAGATGCCAACGGCCCAAACCTAAAACACAAAACCGAAGACAATCTAAAACACCTAAACAAACAAAAAACACACAGAAACAAAAAATACTACGAGCCCTTCCACAACAGCAATTCCAAGCCGAACCAACAGTCACCAAATCGACCCAAGGAGGCTTCCTCTGCCCAAGAAAACCGACTCGCCACTGCCGAACCGCCTAGCAAAGTCGAATCCCAAGCCTCAGAATACACCCAAAGCCAATCCGCCCCAGAGCCCGAGAGACCCCAAGGTTATACCCAGCCGCCGCAGTACCGAGCCTACTAACACCACTAGCAAACTTGGTACCAATGGCAAAGCCGAGCCGAGCCTGCAGACCACAAGTCGACCCAACTCGCCCCACAGCCGGAGAACAACCCAACTGCCCCCAGATTTACCGATGCACTAAACCCCGCTAACACCACTAGCAAGAATCGGCAACACCGGCACTCCCTCCGAACCCAGCCAGAGAACGGGGGGAGAGGAGCAAAGAGGTGCAATTGCAGCCCCGCCATCGCCGACCAAAGCCACGAGCTACCGGAACCGCACCCGGTCCCAACCCAGTGAAAAACATCCCACCCAACACCACCGCCTAAGGAAGGAGACGACGACCCTAGACGAAGCCGGAACTTGCTAGAGAAGCAGCAACGACCACCGACGCGGATCCATCCTTTCCGTTGCGTTGCGAAGGAGCAAGAGGAGACACGACGGGTTGAGGTCCAGGCGGCCAGGAGCCGACCGCCGGCGGAGCCCGTCGGCCGCTGTGGAAGGCGTAAATCAGGCGAATCGAAGAAAGAGGGAAAGCGGGATTAGGGATTCAGAGGGGAAAGGGGAAAAAAGAAGAAGAAATGGAACCTTTTCACAAACTCTTCAAACCCTAAAGCAAACCAACACCCCCTTCATCTCCACTCGCCGCCGCCCCATCTACCCAAATCTTCTCGCTGCTACATCGACATTTCGGAATGAGATTTACACATCTGAACACTCCGACCGACCAATCACTCCGACCGTAAGATTTAATCGAAGTAAGATTTGCTTAAAGGACGGATATGGAAGTGTCGGTGGTGGCATCGGTGGTGCAGCTGTAGGCGCAGCACCTGGCGCAGATAACAACGGAGTTGCAGAAACTGACGGGGCTCTTCAAAACCTTTAATCCCCTTTTCTGAATTCTTAAATTTTAAGATATCATGGTCGGTCGAGACAGAAAAGCAAGAAACTATTTTTCAGGAGTAGAATTCAAAACAAAGTGAAGGATCCTTGAGGTTAATTGGCGTGGCTCCAGGTAAGTTCATTATGAATTCAAAGAAAAATATCATCTCTGATGTGTCTGCTGAGAAGTCATTTACGCATAACCATATTGGTGCTTCTGATGATGAAAAAATGCGGCGCTTTTGGCCATCAAAACTTATTTCAAGGTGTTAAGTCGATCAAAGCTTTTTTTGTGGGTGGGAGGCAAATTTCCAATCTGCCGATTCTGAAAATCAACCTGAATTTTTGGATGCCTCAGTTGACTCCAAAAATAATGTCACAGATTAATCCAACTGAAATTGGCAGTCCGTGAACTCATTCTTCTAAAAGAATCCTGGAGACATTTTGGCATTTTGTTCCCTCGTGTCTGAATTGCTGTGATTTTTCTTATCAATCAATCTATTTAATAATAGAATTTTGTTTTCAACGTGAGTTTTTTTTTTATATGCTTGTAATCTTAGTTACACTAAGATAGTTTTACATGTTTGAAAAGTGGTTGAAAAGTATTGTTTTAACAGGCTGAGAGCCTGAGATGCTATTCTTACCCCTACCGTCCTTCCATGTTGTCGGCTCCCAGGCGCATACAGTACGAATCACTCGCCGGCAGGTTGTCAACCTTCAATGACTTTCTAGGATCACCTGAACTCGAAGGGGCCTCTAGAGCCCATGTAAAGAAGGTAAAGTGATGGGTCCCTCAAATTTTAAGCTTATATGTGGTTTCGTCTGTGTAATTTTGGAGCTTCTAGATGAAGGAATGTTAATTCTCAAAGATACTTCAGTTTTACTATGCTTGGTTTCTGAATCAGCACACATATTCCAACGAGCATTAACCAGTACAAAGTTCAAACTTCACAGCAGAGATATTACAGAAGCCTTGCGGTGGGTAGATTGGCGTTGGAGAGGCAAAACTCATCTTTCACGTGACAAGGACGGTGTGGCTGCACTAAAGCAGATTTCGCAGGGGTCGCGAGGGACTGGTGTGAGGCGTGTTTTATGTTTCTTTCTCGTTTGTTTTGGGTTGCATAGTGATGAAATTTGTTTCTTGGTGGCTTTTTTTTTTTTAAATAAGATTTGTTTCTGTATTAATAGTACAAGCAAATTTTACATTTGTAGGTTGAAATTGACCGAAGCAGTTATTCATTGGTTCACTGAAGAAGAGAACTCATGCAATGGTACGAAAAAAAGTTCTAAAATTCAAAGCTTGGCTTTCGTCCCATCTAGTTTAGAAGCAACTATTATAACGAGATCTTGAGTTCTTTACCATTTGCAGTGTACATCAATCCAATATCTGGCCTTTTGAATCTCGGTGTGAATATGTCAAAGGAGTTTCCAATGCATGACATGGGACCATGTATTAATATTTCATAAGGAGGTCCAGAGGAACTATTGTAGGTAGGGCTGCACAAACTACGGTTAACCGACCGAAACCGAAACCGACAAACCGGTTCGGTTTTCAGTTTTTATTTTTTCAATATTTCGGTTTTTGGTTCGGTTTGGTTACAATCTGTCGGTTAACCGAACGAACCGAAAACCGATATCATACATATAAGTTAATACAGCCCAATATAATGATATGTTATATTATTCATATTAACACAAGCCCAAAGTTAGCACGGGCCGCCCACCACAAAGAAGGCCCGATTTGATGACTTCATCGATCCAATCTGTCACATTTAGTCATTTACTCACAGAAATTAATCAGAATCGTCACATTTTATCACATTTACTCCATCCCCCGTCTGCCGAAACCCTACCTACGGCTACCATCTTCTCCACCCGTCTGCCGTACGGCGCACACATTCACACACTCCATCTCCGATCGCTCGGCGTCGGCGCTCTGAAGTCGGAAATCCCAAATCGGAATCTGAAATCCCAAATCACCTCGAGCCTCGCTCGGTTGCTCCTGCTCCCGCACACACTCGGCAGCCGCTCTCGATGGCGACGCTTTCTTTTCTGATTTTGAATCTCTCGTTCTTCTCTTAAGTTTTAACCTGTGATTCATCTTACGGGCTGCACCCACCCAATTCAAGCTCTTGTTTAATTTTTTGGTGAATTTTTGTGCCTATGATTCATTGATTTGAGCAATTTAATTTGAGTAAGCTGCTGCTGAACGATTACGTTTAGTGGGTTTCCAAATTATTGATATGTTGAACCATTTTGCTTCTGTGACTGTGTTGCTGACTTGATAAACTTGTATTTTGGGACATTATTATTTTTTTTTTCTTCTTCTTATGCATTTTAGTGTGTTTTGGTAAAATTCAAGTAGTATATATTGTTATTTGTAAATTTTATTTTTGTCATTTTTCTATTTTATCGGATAACCGATAACCGAACCGAAAAAACCGATAAATTTTCGGTTTAAAACCGAACCGAACCATAGTTTTCGGTTCGGTTTTCGGTTTTGATACTGGACAAACCGAAAATTCGGTTAACCGAATTTTCGGTCGGTTCGGTTCGGTTTTGACCGAATGTGCAGCCCTAATTGTAGGCTGATTATTTGTCAAACATGTGTTATGAATCACATGAGACGATATGTCTTGTTTAAATATATGTTAAACATATTTCTATAACATATTATAGAGGATTTTATTCTTTAGTCTTTAAGGTGGACTATCCGTTAAACAATTAGTGGACTATCCGTTAAACAATTAGTGTAATGGGTTTCCTTTTCTCAGGTTAGCATTCTCGCTTATGCTACCTATCTACAATCTTACTGGAGCAAATTAACAAAAACGAGAGTCTGTTGAAAAAGTACAAGAACTGGGACCACCATCATGGGCAGTCATTGAGCAATTGTGCTAATCAGAAAGGCAAATCGTCTTTCCGGAGTGAGGATGATCTATGGCTCGAACGCCATTCTCACGCTTCTCAGGTGAGGTTTCCCTTGGGAAACATATACATTTTATTTTATGTTAACCTTATCAAACAACTTATCTATCTATGTGAATATCTCATATTGATTTGGTCTGTGCAGTCGAATGAAATTTGTAATTCAATGGATGCTAAAGTGCGCAATTTGAATACAGTTTCCAGCAAGTCGTAGTGTATTGAGGTAATATATGAGTAAGGTTTTTAATAATTGTTGGGGTGAAAAGAAATAGGAAATGACATTAGGTAGCTTTTGTTATATGCAAATCAGTATTTTAACAATTTGGGTTTAGTTAAAGTGGTTAAAAAGATAGACTTCTCCTCGTGGATGAACACAAACAAGAGAGAAGGATCTACGCCAATACTATTGATGTTTTCTTATATAAGTTTAATGATGTGTTTTTACATGTTTGTCTGATTGGTTGCATGCTGGCTTGAATCTTTACTGGTGGCAGGAGATATTTTCAAGAAACTTCAAATATGGAAGCTCATAGTTTCTTTTTTTGGTTTTACGTCCACCAGAAATGGTTTTCAATGTTTACCTTCTGATACTACTTTCGTGTGTCTGAGCGGAAAATACGTTATCATAAACACACTGTAAGTTTTTGTTCTAGCCCAATTTCATTCATGCCATTTCTCATATGAAATTCATATGCCAGATTATGTGCTATTGTTGGAGAAAGTAACGTGTATTTCTAAAAGTGAAGTGTCGGATATGGATTGATGGTTTAATATGTAGTATGCTTTAAACTTGAGTTTCAGTTAAGTTTTTTAAGTCATAACCAATTGAAGTTAGATAAAGGTGTACTTAAATATAAATATTGAGATTGTATATAAATATCGTGATTTCATTGTTCAATGAATGAGTAATCTGTTGAGTGAACCATCAACTAATTGTAAATTCCTATCTACATCATTTCTTTGTGTTTTCCAAGCGTCCCAGCAGGTCTAAATTTTCACCATTTATTCTTGTTTTGGTCTTTTCCTTTTTGTGTGTTTATTCTTGAGCTTGATATTAGTTCCAGTACTGTTTTAATGATTACTCTTCCTTTTCAAGAAATAAACTATACCTTTTGATTTACATATATATGTATATTTTTTTTTATTCACGGATTTAGATCCATTAATGTCTGAGGGCTACTTAATGAATGCGCAGACACTTTGAAACTTCGGCGGACTTGATAATTTATGTACTCTACGATTGTTATATTATCTGTAGCAAGGTATATTTTTTTTCTTTGATTATGTCTAAATTCACCAACAATGTTCTCCCTAAATTTTTAGTAATTGGCACTCGTGATCCCTGCCTTTCACTGAGTAGGACATGCATATGGTGTATCACTAGGTGATAAATAAATAAAAGATGTTTGACCTTGAACCAATTATGGAAAGGTAAACGAAAAATTCGAGTTTCAAGATAGACTATCTTCACAATATGAAAAGGGTGGAGCGTGTAGAGGGATTTGAATGATTTGGGATATATGAAAATAGAACAATGTTTATTATTGTTACAATATGTTATTGAATTGAAGAGAAAGAGGCCTATGTGCGACCATTCTGTGCTTTAAAATTGAGAAGGAAAAAGGTGAAAGAGGAATATTATTCATTCCACCTACTTTATCCTTGTGGTTCTATTGGAATGAGAGTTTTAGTTATTGATTATGTTTATTTTATCTTATGTTTGATAAATATTTTTCATTAAATGCTCCAGGAAGATTTTGCTTGGGTAGTTCTCAAAATCATATATGTTCAATTTGGGAATCTCTCTGATGCTAAAAAGGAAAAGGATTGGCAAAAAAAATAAATTACATATATATATATATATGTTTAAAAATTAAATTTAACTAATATTTGGATCAATGTTCGTGTAGATAAAAGATACGTAAGAAGTCATCGATCGGACGGCCTTAAATGCAACTCATCTCGGCTGATGGGGCTCATCTGATGTCATCTGTCGACAGGTTTCGGTCTGGCAGGGAGGTCTCAATATTCATTACGAGCCTCTATTCTAAGGTCAGGTATGTTCTTAAAAATAATATTCCGATGAAGCAAAATATGTAAGGAGAGATCATATTAGCCCCTCTACTATGTGGGTTAGGTGGATATTTGTTTAACAATCGGTCTGGTCTATTTAATTTTTTGTATGAGTGTAGATGTTTGACTTTGTAGCTACTTTTTTTCCTTATACATTGAAAAGAGTGCGTAAGAAATTTGATTTGGATTGTTCTAATTGTTTTCCAAAAACGACGCATATTTATTGAAACAATGATGCAAAAACGTTGTTGCATAGTTAGTGATAAAGTAGTTAGTGTAAAAATATTCCCTTACCTTGTCCCTTGATGAGGTAGAGCTGTGAAATTCGGGCGACGTTCCAATACGAAAAGAGCCCGAGAGAGGAAGCAGGAAGACTTAACCGGAAGAACTTCCAGTAGAAGTAGAAGCTGAATCGATGAAGTCATCTCTAAGAACTAGTGGTGTTTTGACATCACTGGCAATAGATCGGGTAGAGAGAGGATAGTAAAGAGTCAAACAATCGATAAGTTCGAACATTGCTTTTGGGATAGATTTCAAGCAAGCAAGGTGGAAGATTTTCTTACCCATGGGAAACCGTGTCTGAGTACCAAGCTGAGACTTAGCATACGAAAGAGCAAACGTTGAGAAAAAGGGAGGACAGAGAAACCTTAACCTTGAGATTTTAGTACCTTTGGGTAAATGTTACCCATTTAAACTGTGAGACCCTTAAGTTTGTACCAGGAAGAAGTTAGGCCCGAGGCTTAGTGCACCGAGTTAACTCAGCGCCGCAGTACAGTGATACTACTAGCTTAAGATGTGGATACGACTGTGTTGGTGATTGTAGGCGACACTGATGTCGCAGGTACATCGCACGCTGGTATCACATGCAGGTGTTCTGCGCCCGTGTGCCCTAGGTAGGTAGTGGGTAAACCGCATGCAACGTACCTCGTGCAACGTGTTCCGTAGTCAGGAGCCGGGTCACGGTGAGTCGAACTGCAAGTGCTAGTTGTCCTCATCCATAGTACAGATCGATCCAGAATCAGGAAAGATGATCAGAACGCTTAAAGGATGTCGTTTTGAATGACAGATGCGTTTAGTAGAACGATTTGCCATTTAAAGCAGTTAATAGAAGATGATAGACATGATACCGTATGTTGTAGTACGGACACGAGTGTTGATCACTGACGGACAAGAAAAAGATAACAAGAGAATGATTCTCAGTCAAAAGTAGATCGACAGATAAGGGAGTAGAAATCAGTGATCCATACAAAGACTAAGATAACCCTGAACCGACGAAAGTCGCGTGCAGGCCAGCGACAAAAAGACTTTCAGACCAGTGTGTACGGCAAGGTGACCCTAAGGGTCACAACCGTAAAATGTTACAATAGTGAAATACATCAATATCCAAAAACTGTATAATGTCAGAAGTGGTTCATAATCTTGGAGGTGGTTTTGAACCACTTTTTTTTTTTTTTAAAAAACAAATTGTTGGACACAGTCGTTCAAGCGATGATATACGGAGAGCGAGCGTGGAAGGAGCATACGTTTCCACGTCTGAGTTTTATTGGTTCTCTTGTCGGTTATCTTCCGTGGGTAGGTCCTAAGGTCGTAGTACCTAGTATAAGCCAGCGTGCTCGTTATGTACCTTCAACGGTTGAACTGGTATTCCATTTGTACAATTTTTACATGGCTCGCGGTATTCCTTTTCCTACGCGACTTTTGATGCTTCATCCGAATTTCCGAGGGGGAAGTGTGTTCTATGCATTGCTGTATGCTTTTATCTATGGGTCCGAGCTGAATCGTATTTCCATCCGGTGGATTCCTTATATGTGATTATGAAATTTAATTTCTTATTTTTCAATTCACGTATTTATTTTAATAATTAATACTTGTAAATATAGGGTGTCAGAATGCGTGTAGGTTAATTCCGCTATACTCCCATAGAGGATACTGATACGATTGACGCGTACCTCACAATAAAACCACTGACGGGCGTCCTTAACGCATTATGAGAGATGGCGTGACTTTGGAACAATGTAAGTATAGAATTTTTTTTTGTTGGAATTAAATATAAATATCAATATTATAGATACGAGTAACATTGATTTTGTAAAAAAAAAGTTTCTACAGACAAGAGTTTGTGAAGTTAAATGGCCTGTCGTCAATGCATGTTTTCGACTAAACGTGCTCGGATTTTGTCAAACTCAAAGTAACCCCATCGTATCCCGTAGGTATTCTGGCACATATAGTACCTCCCTCCCTCATCCACTCCACACCACACTAGGGTAATAGCATCGTCAATGCATGTTTCCGACATGCTATTATCCTGGTGGGGTGTGGAGTGGATGAGGGAGAGAGGTACTATATGTGCCAGAATACCTACGAGATGCGGTGGAGCCACTTTGGGTTTGGCAAAATTCGATCACGTTTAGTCGGAAACATGAATTGACGATAGGCCATCAACCTTAACAAACTCAGTAGAATTTTTTTTTTCACAAAATCTATTTTACTCATATCTATAATATTGATATTCATATTTAAGTTCGAACAAAAAAACAAAATTAAATATTTACATTATCCCAAAAACACGTCATCTCTCATGATGCGTTAGGGACGCCCGTCAGTGGTTTTGTTGCGAGGTACGCGCCAATCGTATCAGTATCCTCTCTGGGAATATAGCAGAACACACCTACACGCACTCTGACACCCTATTTTTACAAGTATTAATTATAAAATTTTGATTTCTAAAATAAAAACGTGAATTGAAGAAAAAGAAATTAAATTTAATACTCACATACAAGGAATCCACCTGATGGAAATACTGGATAGAGGCATAGAACACACTTCCCCCTCGAAAAATCGGATGAAGCATCAAAAGTCGCGTAGCGAAAGGAGTACCGTGAGCCATGTAAAAATTATACAAATAGAATATCAATTCCACTGTTGAAGGTACATATCAACATAACGGGCCCGCTGGCTTATATTAGGTACTATGACCTCAGACCTACCCACAGAAGATCACCGACAAGAGAACCAATAAACCTAAGACGTGGAAACGTGTGCTCCTTCCACGTTCGCTCTCCGTATATCACCGCTTGTACCACGTGTGCCCAACAATTTGCTTTAAAAAAAAGAACAAAAGTGGTTCAAAACCATCTCCAAGATTAGGAACCACTTTTTATATATTGATGTATTTCACTATTGTAACATTTTACTAAAATGTAATAATAACACTTTAGAAGCAGCACTTTTATATATTTAATAATATTATAATTATCATTATTAGAAGAAAGACATTTAGAAATGGCAAAAAGACTTAGACCTGACCCGGAGCATTTGGGGTAAGTGTTGTAAACGAATCGAATTGAAACGAATACTCAACTATTCAATTCTAATTCTGGAAAATATTCGTCTTCGATTCGTTATTGATTTAATTTGGAATTCTTACTCGAATCGATTAAGATAATCAAATATATTCTATTAGATTCGGTACTCGTTTTCAAAAATTATCCATAAATATATTTATGTATTTTTTGAATATATGTTTAGAATATAATATATATTTTTAAATTAAATATTTAGTTTTATCTAAACTATATTGCGAAATATAGGATTATGAAAAAAATGCAACAATCAATATATTATAATCATTTTTTTTTCAGAAATATTGAAATAAAAAAAAACCTGTGTCCCACAAATCTATTAAGCCTTGTGAAGAACGGATCGTTTTCGAAATTGGGTTCCATATAACAATACATTTTAGGCAGGTCAAATTACACAATCACATGAAAAATAGATGTGGAAGTTTGTTGAATCTAGTTAATTAATAGATACATAAAATAATTATGTGCAATTTGGGATTTAATTATATAAAACACCCAAATGATAAGTTTTAGTTGGGGCCTTTTTTCTTGGTAACAAAACGCACCAGCTCAATTTCACTCGCCGCCTCAGTTCTCTCTCCCCTTTTTTGTATTTTTGTTCAAAACTCGACAAGCCCTAATTGTGATTTCCTAATTTTCAGCTTCATTTATTGTTTTGTGTTTGAAATCGTCACTGATGTTTCCAATTTTGTGAAGACGAGTAGATGTGTTTCGATTTTCATAATTGTTTTCTAATCTTAGAAAACAATTGTGAAAATCAAAATCTTTCTCCGGTTGTACTTCGATCACCGAGGACAAACAGAAGATCCGTACATTGGCATTTTTTGTTACCCCAGGCGGAAAGGTAATACCGAATTAGGCTTCTCGATTTAAGTTTATGCTTTTTTTTGTTCAGTTTTGACAAAAGACAGATTTTTGTTTTCATTCCAATTTTCTGAAAAAATCGTTGAATATGTGTATGTGTATGTTGATAGTAGATCTATTATGGCATCTTTTCTTTCATCTGTTTGGTCTGTAATTGTGATAATATAGATTCTTAAAATTCTGAGCAAATAACATGATGTTTTTTTAACTTGGATTTTTTTTATATATATTTTTCTATTGTCAGATTTCAAAAAAATTCAAAATGATGTTTTATTTTTCGAAATTTTTGTTACTGTCATGCTTTTTTTAGCTTAATAGTAGAATTATAATTTATGTTTATTGTTTCATGATGATATATCAATTTTTGTTAAGTTGACCTTTTACCAAAAAAAATAAAATAAAATAAAAAGAAATTAGGCACATGCGTATATGAATCTGTACAAATATTTGATTGAAAGAGTTTTATATGAATTTTCTGACAAAAAAAATGTTAGAACTGAATCATTCATCTGTGTAAACATGCTAAACCTGTTGCGGAATTTTATAAGTGAGCCTTCGGGTTTTGCTTAGTTTTGTAATCACGTATTGCTAATTTTAGTGAGCTGTAAGTACATTTGTATATCTTCTGACCATATTTTTTTTATTTTTGTGCATGAGAATCGTGGATATATACTAAGGAACTTTGATGAAGTACAATCAGCTGCAATATTACATAGCACAACATAAAATACAATTTTCTTACAGGTAAGTGTTTTACATATATATGTTAATTTCAGTGAGTATAAATGTATTAAACATTTTTAAAGTGATCATAACAACAAGTGAAATTAAGTAGAAGCTTAATATATGAGATATTTTTTATGTCCTCGTCTTATATTTTTTCTAAGATCTTATAATCTTTTGTTTACAGAATCATGTGAAGCTAACTGGTGGCAAACATTGATCATCGACCTCATAAGGTTTGATTTCATTACATATGTTTCTATTTCATTATTTTATTTGTAAGACCTGTCTACATTTTGATGGATATCTTGTTATGTTTAACTAAATTGACATATTTTAATTTATGTTTTACTTGTACTAAAATATATTTTTGGCATAAATAAATAGTCATTCAACACATGTTTCTAGAAATAACAACTTTGAACAGTTTCTTAACTGTGCTTAATTCTTATGTGTGTTACTGGTCATAACATATGTTATTGATTTTCTTCAATAAAACTTGGGGCTATACATTGAAATGATGCATATGTGTATAGAAACCAAGGTTTTGAAAACAGGACCGGTTCGACCGGTTCAACTGGGAACCAGGTCCGGTTAGTGGTATGGAACCGCTAGGTCTCAAAACCGGTCAAATAGGGAGAACCAGAAGCGGCTAGTCCGGCTGAGCGGTCCGGTGTTGCATTTGCACAGAGTCAGCAATAGAACCACTTAACTAGCTGATATTTTTGTTTGTGTATCCGATGTGGGATGTACTCAAACATAGGGTTATTGGGCTTTTATTGCAGTATAAAATCAATGATAACAATATATACAATTGTATATTATACATATAAAGTAACTAAAAAATATATATTTATTAAACCCGTTTGACCGGTTCGACCACTGTTCCGACCAGTGAACTAACCGACAGCTTCACCGGTTTGATTTTCAGAACATCGATAGAAACAAAAGTGCAACAATAGCTGACATCATCTTTTTACTGTGCGAGGATGATGATACTGCCAAACTGATGGACTATACAATATACAAAGAAAACACAGGTAAAACAGGTAAAGCGTAAAAAAAACAAAAAAAAAAAGAATGTGTATATCTAAATTTTATATCTCAATTACCTTCTTCTGTTTGTTTTATATTGCAGTATCTGTCTTCATATGGTTATTTGTTTGTGAGCTCCGCCTTTTTTCCACATGTGGTATCCTTCATTTTTTATAACAGTCCATTGAAGCCTTGCCAATTTTTTCTAGAACATTTGTATATTAGAACTGATTTTTATATAAAAAGCAACAATATAACATATACATATATACATAATCAAAACAGAACAATGTGTTTTTCATATACATCTACTCGAACTAAAACAAATCTGCAGTTATTCTCTTTTTCAATGGTGTGCAAAATATGATATCGGCATGGATGACATGTATAGGAGAGAATAACATAGGGATGAGTGAAATTATTTGTATCCGTAGAATTTCGCTCACACAAAACAGAATATCAAAAAAATTTATGAGATAATGACAATATTTATAAGAGATTATAGGTGTTTGACCATATCTTTGAACGTATATCCAATTTCATTATGATTTTTTAGAAAAGATATATACGTTCGCAATAAATAATATGGTAAATTAGAAAAAGGAGCCAGTCTACTTAATTAGTCTACAACTACACGACACTATTTAGATTTGTAATTAAATTAAAGTTATTCGATATCAGCATTCAAAAATTTATCTAATATATTTATTTGTAATTTTATAAAAAACACCCTCTTTATAAATATTTTTAAAGATTCTATTTGGCAGTATAAATCTTTTTTGATTCAAATAGAAAATTGGATATTATTTGATTATTTGATATTAAGTATAATATATAAATTTTATTCGTCCGATACTTGAACGATATTTATCTTCATAACTATGGAAAATATTCTTATCGGTAATAAGATAACATGAGCATAATATTTTGATTACATATAATGGTGATATTCGAATATGATCATGTTGATTGCTGATTTAGCAATATCATTTCATTTTTGTAATCTATATAAATATAAAAAGGTTTGACATTTATCTAAAATAGTAACTGAATTCCCGCCTAAATTTTTAAAATTTCTAAAATTGGCATCTTTTTTGAAAATTTTAAAAAATTCCCCCTAAATTAAATTAAAATATTTATAAGGAAAAAATCACAAGAAAAAGATCGTAAAAAGATTGTTTGGAGTACAATCCATAATTTTATCTAGACTTTCAGATTCTCTTCATTATTTTTTAGGAATTTAATTTCGACTGAAAATAAGAAAAACCAAGCTTTAGATTTGTTTGACCCTCTAATCCATTATTATTGTTCCACTTCTAGCAGCAACCACACCAATTCTGGTCCTGCTAGATGATTTCGCGGTCATATCGTCGCCTTCCATCTTCATCAGGTCGCTCGAAGCGTGATGGTTCGACCTCAATTTCAAACTCGCGGACGATCCCAAGCTCGCCTTGCGGAGATACGGGCAGTACTTGTATGATGTCGTCATCGTCTTCTCGCAGACCGTAAGCGAACACAGCGATACACATTAGTTATATGATTGCTTTTGCCAGTCGATGGTTGTATTTTTTTGGTTATGCTATAGATATTAGGGTTCGGTGGGTCTGTAGATGTTGCATCGTTGTGGAATTTTGTCGATGCTGTTATGATCTGATTCCTGCTGCTGATGCATCAGCGTCTGAATGAATGAATTAGGGAGATTGTTGTTGAATGCAGGGTAGACTTTGATGACGTGGGATTCAGTCGGTTTACAAGATTCTGTTCGTGCTTTTGTTATTGATTCGAAAACAATGTTTTGTTTCTGTATTTTGAAATATGCTAATTAATTTGAAGTGTTTACCCATACGATCCAGCAGCTCTGGTGATTGATCACGCAAGCTATGTAGTTTCGGAGATTGAATGGCGATGATTTCATTCAGTCTGAGGCTATTCTGGCCAGTAAGAAAATCGAGGTAATATATATATATTTTTTTTTTGTTCTCTGAAGGAGTTGTTCAGCTGCGCCAGCAGTTCGTTCGCACCAACGTGACATAGCTATATCCTGAAAGTATCTTCTCATATGTATTAGTAGCTTTTTGGATCCTTGTGGATTGAAATGCGTTGGTATTAGTATTGAATGTCGGATGAAGCTTTTTGCACATGTTTTGGCTAATTAAAATTTAACAATTATTTTATGAATCGTGTTTGATGGCAATTTGAATCAAAGGAAAATAAACTACAAAACGAGAGTGATTAGTTTTCCACTCCCCTATGCACTCGAAGGAAAAGAAAGTTTAACTATCTACTGCTGAATTAATTTATTGGTGACTTAGGACTCTCATTTATGCATTCCACTCAACCATAAGAATCCAATGATTATGTCCCATTTTGGAAATCTATTACAGGCTCCTGTGCTTCTTAGGGAATTGGCCACTCAATAAATCCTGCAAATAACCTGGTAATGTGTATACTATATATATATATATATATACATATTTTGATATAGCTTCTGGAATTTTGAATAATATCTGCTTTATTATTCAGGTGTTAAAAGTTCTATCTGCTTCCTCTGCTGCGTATTCAGCCAATCCGAAATCCAAGTTATTAAGTCCTCCCACTTTGACGGGGTCAGAGATCTCATTAGTTTCAGTTGTTCAGGTATACCAATTCAGTCAATGTTCCATCTTAAATTTGATTTTCGTGGTACATTTGCATCATATTACAATATCATTTGTGGACACCATACTGAAAATTCATTTGTAATCTCTTGAGAATTTGACAACTTATTTTCTTTTCCAGGAAAGACAATACTAGGATTCTGATATCCGGCTCTTTGAGCATGTTTAGCAACCGGTTAGTTTATATTTGTCAATGTTGTTATTTTAGTTAATCAAAGTGACTGTGTTTTTGACTTTTCGTATATAGGTTCTTCCGGTCTGGAGTACAGAAAGCTGGTGTTACTAGCAAGTGAGTGAGTTGCACTACAATTGTATTGATCAGACTCGTGAACTTTCTCCTTCTTCCCCTGCTTGTTCGGTGGTTTGCTTCAGTGCGATATCTTTGTCATAAGTACATTTCATGATTGTTGTTCTTATTGTCTCTGCTTCAAATTTCCGCCAATATACAAAACATATCATTGTTTTAACATGGTAATGTCTTAAGCTCTTCTTTCTCTGAAAACAAAGTGACAATCACATTTTGTGTTGAACAGATACAAGAGAAGTGGGAATAAACAGTTTGACTGAACTTAGCAAATGGATTTTCCATGGAAGAGGTCACCTCAAGGTTTGTTTCACTCTAAAGCTCAATGATTTCATGTTCTGAACCTGTTCGAGTTTGTATTTTTTTTATCATGGCTAACTAAAAGTCTCTTTGAGGACACTGGTATTCATAATGTCGTTGCATAGCAGATATAGGGAATTCAAAAGTATATGAATGTTTATTGTAGACAATATATTGGTCAGGCTGTTGGTGGATCCCTTGGCAGAGATGCATCTACTGGAAGGGGTGTACTTTTCACAACGCGAGTATTGCTTAATGAGTTTGAAAAGAGCATTGCAGGGCAACGATTTGTTGTGCAGGTACACAAGTTACAGATAATATACACATACACATGAAGAAAAGATCCATCTGAAAATTTAATTAATATAATATGCAGGGATTCGGAAATGTCGGATCTTGGGTTGCTTGGTTAATAAGGGAAGAATGGGGGGATAATAGTTGGAGTGAGTGTCATAACAGGAGCTATAAAAAACTGCAATGGTATAGACATAGAAAGCCTGATCAAACACGTGAAAGAAAAGCGTGGAGTGAAGGGGTTTGAAGGTGGGGACAGTAGACACAGATATTTCCTTAGTGAAAGAGCTGGGCTTTTCTGTGAGTACTGTTGGAGAGGAGATGCTACACAATCCCCTCCTGACAAAAGATGTGGAAACATTCAAAAACATCATGGAAAATCTGAACTTATCATATCCAAAAGATAATTTATATAGTTGTGCCTGCTAACATGGTTCGTGGGTTGCAAGATGTTGAACCCAAAGCTGTGAGAAAGGTCAATAGTTTCTGTGAGGTGTGGATTCAAACTGTTGAATAATACAACCTTTACTATGAGGCTCCCCTTTTTATACCCGTGTCTCTATTTTAAACATCATTGTAACTAAGACATCAAATGTCAAATCTAAAAAAAAAATGGTGGGGATAATTATTTACTTACATTTTTATTTATGTTGATTAAGATTTTAATTGAAGATGACAAAAATAACTTTTTTTAAAGTAAATTTTAAACACATAAATAGACTTTTAATTTCGATATACATGCGTATGTATATTTAGTTCGTTCATGCATGTACTTACTTTAAATTCCATGCACCATCAGTTTTCGTTATTTGCTCCGTGCCTGTACTTTAATACTGCGGACCATCAATTATATATTCAATACTATTATGGTACTCGTGCGATGCACGGGAGCATTTATTACCTATTGGTTTTTTAAAATATATTTTTTTATTTAAATTGTCTCATGCCATTAAAAATTCCATGAAAATGAAGTTTATATGTTATTAAATACTTCCTTATTTACAACATTATTGATTGATTCTTTGGCACGTAAAGTACTACATAAGTGTTCGAATTTATCTACAATTGCATATTATTAGTCATTAGTTAACAAATTTTAAAAAAATTAAAGGATGTTATTTATTGAACAAAATTAAAGTAGAAAAAAAAAGTATAATTTTTTAGGGATTTTCACCCATTATTTATTTTAAATCTAATTTTAAATTTCAATTAAGAAAAATTGAAAAGAATCATTAGTTACTCCTAGAAATGAAACCGATTTTCCTACTAATAAACTGATTTTTTATCAAACAAATTGATTCAAATTTTATTAAACTAAATAAAAAAATCATCATTTCCTAAAAATGCAACCGAATTTTTCTAACAATTTGACGATTTTTGTACCAAACAAATTGAATTGAAAATAATTCTAATAAACAATTGAAATAAATTGTTAATGTTTATGCAACTGTCTCTTTCCTAAACAAAATGATATGAACTTAACAAAAAAAAAAAAATGATATGAACTTACCAAAATCTCGGTAAAACATGGTTAAGAAAAAATATAAGAATCTAAAAAAATCGATGCATTTAAATTTTGAAAAGTTGCACACAAGTTTTCCTAAATAACTGGATAAGGTGACTTTTAAATATCAATGATGAACCGCTTTTGTTACCACAAAATGTGGACACAATTTTGAATGTACATCCCGTCCAAATATCAGTTTTATTTTAAAATAAAAATTACACGTGGCTTTGTCCAAGATTGGAAGAATTGGTTAAGAATTATACAACTATTTGCTTCCTAAATTTGTATCCAATTTGCACAGTTTTTAAATTAATTTGTATTTAGAATTGTTTTCATAAATAATTGACACATTTTTTGCATAAGAATCTCCAAATTTGTTACCAAAAAAGATATTATTTAAATTTTGGTAAAAAAATAAAATAAGATAGAAAAAAAGGAGATTCAAAATTTGTCATAAGAATATCCAAATTTGTTACCAAAAAATTAGGATAAAGATTCACATGTGTTTTTTCAAACTTTCCATTAATAGTAAGTCAAACATTATATTTATTTGGTCAAACTTTCTATTAATGTATTTTTCCAACAACCCCTTTATATATATATAGATATCTGTGTATTAGTTCAAATTTAATCAAACATCAAGTATCATTTTACTCAAGGAAAAAAAATTAGCTTAGTTATCATATTTGGTCATGAGAAATTCTTATTTTATTACTATTCAATAAACCAGAGGAAATTAAACTATTTCACTACAAAAAAAAATTGTTATATTTCAAAGGAAAATCTTATGGTAATATATTCCAACGGATATTCCAATGGTATAGCTTACGTTGGAATGATTCCAACAGAAATTCCAACGAAAATATTCCGTGGGAATGTATTTTTCATTGAAATTTTAGATGGAATTTGATGATTCCAACGACTATATTTTCAACTGCTTTTCACCGTAGGAATTTCCGTTGGAAATTTTTATTTCCACCACCGTAGGAATTGTCAAAATTCAACGGAAATTTCAATAAAAAAACTCATTCCAACGGAATATTTTTGTTGGAATATTAGTACGAGTTGCTTACAAATTTTAAATAGACACGTTTTATGTAATTTTGCACAATTTATATTTTATATAATATTTTTAATAAATTAATATAGGTAAATTGTATGACCCATTGATTCTATATTCTTAACTTATAAATATTGTTTAATTAACATTCTTAATTTATAAATATTAATGAATATCTCTTACTCGTTCATCGCAACGAGATTCGTACTAGTTTATATATCGATCTAGAGTAATTTGATGTTCGATTTTATTTAATGTAATATTTAAGATATATTACATTTTTAAATTTGATTTGTTTGGTATAAGAAAATATTAGATTAAATTTAGTTTTTAGGGATTTTTATAATTGGTGGTTGTTGTGATAGAGAATTTGTATGTGATATGTATAAAGTAATTTTTGATAATTGATGGTTAGTATGATATGAGATTTGTTGGTGGTAAGTATATCAATAAATGTCAATTTTATTAGTTATTATGGAAGCTTTAAGATTTTTATTGTGACATTCCAAATAACATTTTTTTTTTTTATTTTAAATTCTGCATTTCGACATGTAAAACATAGATATGGATTGAGNCAAAAAAAAAAAAAATGATATTATTTCAAATTGAATTTTGTGAGAATATTTTTTATGCGGATTTGGTGATAGGTGATTTTAGTCAAACAAAATCTATTCAATATATCTATACAAATGCAATCCAATCCGATTTACATGTAATTTTAATTTATAATTTACCAAATTTGAAAGAGACCAAATTCAAACTGATTTAAGTGAACGGGGTTTTTCAATTCTTTTAAAAAAAATTGCGAAGTTTAGTAATTCTAAACTTTTAAGTGGGAATCCAAATTTTTTTTTTGTTGATTTTTAGTTGCTATTTCAAGTAAATATCATTGCCTCTTTATATATTAATAGATTTTCTACGACAAGTTTTTATTTAATAATCGCCTTTTGAAGACATGTAGAAAATCACGGTATATGGTTGATTACCATATAAATGAGAAATTGCAGTGATTCGTAATTAATATAAAGAATCGAATTTTTATTTTGATAATTATCTGAAAATAATTTTCAAATTCGATACCAGGTTTATATAGAAAGTCACGCTACTAACCGAATTGCACGATTTGCAACATATAGGTACAATTTGATTTTTATTTTGTTTTCAAAAATATTAAAGTAATTTTGACTATATTTCCTTTAATAGTAAGTCAACTATTTTAATTACAAAGTCAAAGTAACTATTTTAAATTATTACAGCAACCTCTTTCATATATATGGATATTATCAATATAATTGTTATAAAAACGGGAAAGATAAAGAACTCAATATAGAAATTGGATATAAATTATCCTCAGTATTTTCTTCTTTCTTCTGAATGTGCAATCTTCCACTTCATTTGGGATGCCTTTTATAGGCAACCTCTACCGATACAATTTTCTTCACAAAAAATTTTATCATCATCCCTTTACTATTTTCAAATAGTGGTAAGTCCACCATGCAATACTATTCACAACACTCCCCCTTGGAATTAATACTACAAAATATGCGTTTATGCTGCCTCATTAAAAAACCTTATTTGGAAAAACCCTGTGGGAAAAAAACTGAGATAAGAAAAAAAGAGTACAACCGCACATGCTCTCCCTCGAGTTACCATCTGTGCAGATCTAGAAATGTCTCATTCCATTGTTGTGGACGTGCTTTCGGAATGTTGTAGTTGGGAGCGCCTTCGTAAATAAATCTGCTGCATTATCACTTGATGTATTGAATCTTGATCTGTTTGTTCCTTTCAAGCTCTTGAGTGTATGAGAAGAACTTTGGTGGGATATGTTTGGTTCTGTCAATCTTAATATAACCTTCTTTGATTTTTTTTTTTTTTTTTTCAANATTTTTTTTTTTTTTCAAACGACAATAAGTAATCTCATTAATATAAAGAGTTCAAACGTACACGGGATCCAAAAGGACCACGATCCAAAATTGGATAAGAGGAGAACCAAGAGCTTCCTAGAGAAACAAACAACAAATAAAAGATACATGTAGCAACCACAAGACAAGACAAAAGCTTGCTACCCGTGAATTAAATGACTAAAAAAAACAATCAAAAGCATAATAAACTAGCCACTGCAACTGTCTAGCTAGGAAAATGAGAGAACAAATACAATAACAATGGAGATATGAATCAAATAAGAGAGAATTCCTGTCACTCCCTAAGTGCATTGCTGACTATGATGTACTCTGGGGTCCAAATTTTTTAGAACACCCAAAGGGTTCTCGTCTTCCAGAGTTTCCACAAAATATAAGTTGAGAGTTGTATCCTCTCTTCAATAGACTTTTCTGCTTTGAGCATGCACAGGCCAGTCCACCAGTGCTTAAAGTTGCTGTTAAACTTTGATGTTCCTTTCCATTGAACAGGAGATAGCCTCCATACTCTCTCAGCCCGAGGACATTGAAATAGAACATGATCAGTTGTTTCAGGCCACAGAGGTTACAGATTGTGTCAATGTTGAAACCTCTTCTTTGGAGTTTGGTAGCAACTGTGAGCACCCCACTATAGCATTTCCATATAAAGTGTTTGACCTTGCCTTTGATCTTTAATTTCTTGCTTCTTGTTCTAATTTTCCTGGTGGCAGCAGCATTGGCACTGCATTCTGGGACATCAAGCTGCAGAATTTTGTTATAAATTAGTTGTGCATATGTGGCAACAACTTTAAAAGACTGCTTTGGATCAAAGGACTAAACTGCTCTGTCTTGAAGGTGGTTGCTCAGAGTTTTGATTTGGAGGATAGCCCCACATTCTGAGTTGGAGAAACATCTTCTGGGAAGGTCTTCAGTCCAGGAAATACTATCCTCCGGAATTAGCTCAGAGACCCAGGTTATGTTAGGAGCATTTGAGTTTTTGCTTAACAGCTTTTGATTGGAAAGATTAGGAACCCAAAGGTGCTCCCATATCTTTGTTTTCCTGCCATTCCTGACCTGCATCATAAAGTCATTAAGACAAAGTTTTTGTACCTTAAGCCATGATCTCCATAGCCAAGAGGCATTCTGAGTGGGTTTGGCTCCAAAAACGTTTTTGTATCTTAAGCCATGATCTCTAGAATTTTTGAAATTAGACCCCCTCAATACCCAGCATCTGTCATCACCGGTCTCACGCCACTTCTCGACGGCAGTTCCTTCTAGTCGGCCGCCACCTCTTGTTGGTTGATTCTCGTCTTCTCATGTTTGAAGCCAGTCAGTCCCAACATCGATTGTCATATTTAATTTCACACTGCCGCCTCCCCTTTGCTGGTCTTGTACGAACAACGCCTCTTTCAAATCGTCCTCACCGGAAACAGCTAGAGGACGAGGTTGAAAATAGACGGCACGCCGACAAGGAACTCCGACGAGAAGCCGTAGTTTGAGGAGCTGAGATCTGGGCAATTCGGGCACGATTGTGGCGACGTTGAAACACGATTGCGCGGATGCTGGCGACGGATGTAACACCCCGCTTATCAGAGTAAATTTTTCGCAACTTTTACTTCGAAAATACTCATATCTCTTTCAAAATCTTTTGCGACTAATTCGGGATGCTACTCAACCTTACATCTTGAAAATCCATTTATCTTTAAACTCTTGTCTAATAACTCTTTTAGACATAATTAAATAGATTTTCTTTAAACTTGCATTTAACCATATTCATACTTCTCAAATTGGTAAAAAAACTTCAAATCATAATTTCATTTAAAAATGCAAGTTCAATATTCAATATGCGTAGCGGAATAATCGAAAGCGTGATTTATTATACAAACTTTATTGAATACTTCATAAAAGTCCTTTGAAATGCACAACCACCACCACCACGTCTCGAGCTCACACCTCCGGCCCGACTCTGGTTCCTGAAAAACATAATGGGGGTGAGTACTGATCCTCTTGTACCCCGAAAACACCCATACTAAAGTAAACAGCAATAATAATACAATATCATGATCTCCGGTATATAACTGGACTTAAACTCTTCCAGTATCTCAACTTCATCTCATCGATATCTCATCGGATACTTGTGCACAATCTAATGGATATTTCTCAAGGCAACTCAACGGCCTCCATTAGAACTTAGGAAATACTCGTAAGACAACTCATCGGCCTTATTCCCAAGCGTATAAACTTAAACTTTTACATACCTCGGACATGATATCAATATTATACTCAATGTAATACCCAGTCTGGGTCCCCACCTTTCGTCTTTTGAAAAATCGTAAGTGTTGTTCTCGTATAGCAACCTCCTCAAGCTACATAAAAATATATAAACAAATATACTAAGTACCTATGCTCATTTACTCAATAAGATGCTCGGTTTTCTCAATTCATTCGGATACTCATTCAAATCTTATAGAAATTTCAATAATCATATCATTTCTCAAATTAGCTTTTCTTGATCTTTTACTCAGTCAATTTCTTAACTCCTCATATATCATATTCTCCAAATCATTCATATTTACTCATACTCATTTTTCACTTTTACATCTTGAAAGTGAAAATAAACTCAACCATATTCCTCTTTTAAACATCACATCCAATCATGATATTAATATGCCATACTTAATACAATTTTTATAAAATTGTATACTCAACATATTAAATCAAAATTTATCAAATTGTTCATCACTCATATGAGAATAGATCATAAAATCTCATTTTAACAATTTGAACATCTCATGCATATTTTTGCATATATATATATATTCATCTTTACATATAGGCCTTCTTATATTCATAACTTATTCATTTCTCATCTTTAAATTATGAAACTTAACAGTCATAATCTCAACTTATAGTTAGACATATCATCAAAATTTCATAATTTTAGCATGCATATACATCAAGTTATTTAAAGTCATAGTGAACATAAACTTCATATTGCATGTTCATCTTAAAAAATTCATAACTTTAGTTATACTATGCTAAATAACTTAATTCTTGTTCTCATGTACTCTTCTCTTACATAAGAATTACTCATCTAAATCATACTTTTCCAGCATATTCATATCCTCATGAAATTCTCATGCAATTCAACATCTTATCACATCAAGTACATATATCATATAATTGATCTTTAACAACTTTAACTCTTTGTATCAATTATAAACTTCAACTTCTAAATCATGATATACATACTCATTAACATGTAAATTTATCATCAAAGTATGAACTTAAGTATAAAACTTTAAGATAAGTAAATTACCTCCTTCTTGGTAGAGTTAAAACTTGATTATTAACTCCAACTTCTTCACTTCTCCAAAGATTTCTACCACTTATCACTCTCTCACTCTTATATAACTTTGGAACTTTATTTTGGTGTACAAACTCTGAATTTTAGGCCTCTATTTATAGGCACAAATTGGAGAAACATCCAAATAGAGTGATTAAATGATCATAATATAAAATTTAACTTATAAACTTAAATAATCTTTAAAATATATTATGATTAACTTATTCACTCATCCAATTCATAATTAAACCTCAAAAATGGCCTGTGGTTGGGATCACAATCGGATTCTCAATAATCCAATTGGACTGTCGGCAACACGACTCGTGTGGCTAGTCACACGACTCGTGTGACCTCACACGACTCGTGTGGCTAGGTCACACGACTCGTGTGGCTCCACACGACTCGTGTGGCTTGTCACACGACTCGTGTGGAAAAGCCAAGGCTAACTTTCATCATTTCTTCATCCCACACGACTCGTGTGCCTCATCACACGACTCGTGTGTCTTGTTTCCTTGAAAAACTCTTAATTTCGATCCGATAACTGACTATCTTGGACTCGAAATTACTGAAATAACATAATAACTCATAATAACTGAGATAACTGAGAGGGATATTACAATCTACCCCCCTTAAAATTATTTCCGTCCTCGGAAATATAAAAACAAACATACCTCAAAACGCAAACTCAGGAAAACGAGCTCTAATATCAGCTTCCCTCTCCCAAGTGGCATTTGACTCGCCGTGGCGATTCCATCTAATACGAATAAGGGGAATATCTCGCTTCCTGAGCCGACGAACATTCCGGTCCAAAACTGCTATCGGCTGCTCCTCGTAAGTTAAATCAGACTGAATCTGAATCTCATTGTGCTTCAGCACATGCTCTGGATCGCACACGTAAGCACGTAACATCGATACGTGAAAAACATTATGCACACTTGATAACTCCGGAGGTAATGCTAAGCGATAAGATACTTCTCCAACTCGCTCCAGAACTTCAAATGGACCTATATAACGAGGATGCAACTTGCCTCTCTTCCCGAAACGAACGACCCCTCGCATCGGTCGAACTTTCAAGAAAACTTTATCACCAACTTCAAATTGCATCTCTCTTCTATGCTTATCGGCTGAAGACTTTTGCCGACTCTGAGCAGTCTTTAGCCTTTCTCGAATCCAGGCTACTTGCTCAACTGTTTCTTCAATCATCTCTGGTCCAAGAACTCGACTTTCTCCAACATCGTCCCAATAAAGGGGCGAACGACACTTACGGCCATAAAGTGCTTCGTATGGAGCCATCTGAATAGATGAGTGATAACTATTATTGTAGGCAAACTCTACTAATGGTAACCACTTCTCCCAATTGGCACCTCTATCCAAAATGCAAGCTCTGAGCATATCTTCAAGCGTCTGGATAGTCCTTTCAGACTGGCCATCTGTCTCTGGATGTAAAGCCGAACTAAACTTCAACTTTGTGCCCATTGCCTCATGCAAACTCTCCCAGAATCTACTCGTGAATCTGGGATCTCGATCCGATATGATCGTAACTGGCACTCCATGGAGTCGAATGATTCCACGCGTATAGATCTCAGCTAACTTGTCCATTGACATCGTCATTGTCACAGGCATAAAGTGGGCGACTTTCGTCAATCTGTCCACTACTACCCAAATCGCATCATGATGCTCAGACGACTTAGGTAGCCCTGTAACAAAATCCATGGTAACTTCTTCCCATTTCCACTTTGGAATCTCAATTGGCTGCAACAGTCCCAATGGACTTTTGTGTTCAGCCTTCACTTGCTGACAAACCAAACACTTCTTTACAAAGTCTGCTACATCTCTCTTCATTCCTTTCCACCAAAACGACTTTTTCAAGTCGTGATACATTTTGGTGCTTCCAGGGTGAGCTAAATAAAGCGCACTGTGTGCTTCTGTCAAGATTTCCTTCCGCAAGGACTCGACTTTCGGCACAACAATCCTGCCTCTGAATTCTAAAGCTCCATCGGTGCTTCAGTAAAAGCCTTCTACTCCTTCAGCATGAACCTTCTCTTCGATCTTTCGAATAAATTGATCGAAAGTTTGCTCCTTCCGGATTCTATCTCTCAACATAGGTTGAATTTTCATCGAGTTAACACTTCCTGTAATCTCCTTAGGAAGTGACTTAACCACTTCAATCTGCATTCGAATGAACTCCTTGATGAGTTGCTTCTGTTGTGATATACAACAAGACAACTCACCCTTCACCTTTCGGCTTAAGGCATCAGCTACAACGTTCGCTTTTCCCGGATGATATTGAATAGTGCAATCATAATCTTTCACTAGCTCTAGCCATCTCCTTTGGCGCATATTGAGCTCTTTCTGTGTGAAAATATATTGCAAACTCTTGTGATCAGTGAATATTTCACACCGGCCACCATAGAGATAATGCCTCCAAATCTTCAATGCATGCACTACTGCTGCCAACTCTAGATCATGAGTTGGGTAATTCTGCTCATTTGGCTTCAACTGCCGTGAAGCATATGCCACAACTTGACCTTCTTGCATAAGTACACATCCAAGACCCTGCTTTGAAGCATCACTAAAGATTGTGAAACTTCTAGTAGGATCAGGAATAATCAGTACTGGAGTGGTTGTAAGCTTCTGCTTAAGCTTTTGGAAACTCTCTTCACAACGATCTGTCCACTCAAACTTCACAGATTTTCTCGTTAGATTTGTCAAAGGGAGAGCAATCTTTGAAAACCCTTCGATAAACCGACGATAATAACCTGCTAATCCAAGGAAACTCCGAACTTCAGATGGATTCTTCGGCACGGACCTATTCTGAACTGCAACAATCTTGTTTGGATCAACCTCAATGCCTCTTATCGTGATAATATGGCTTAAAAATGCCACTTTCTTCAACCAAAATTCACACTTAGAGAATTTGGCATACAGCTTCTCTCGTCTAAGGGTACCGAGAACTACCCTTAGATGTTGCTCATGCTCTTCCATACTCTTGGAATAGATCAAAATATCGTCAATAAAGACAATAACAAATTGATCTAAATACTGATGGAATACTCGATTCATCAAATCCATGAATACTGCTGGTGCATTACTTACTCCAAATGGCATAACCACAAACTCGTAATGACCATATCTTGTTCGAAACGC